TGTGTGGAAATATTTTGGTTCGTGCAATTTCCTGAGGCTTTTCTGTCAGTTGCCTGCCTCTTTGCTCTCTCTGTGTAATAATTGTATATATTATCTCTTCTACTTACTGATTTTTTTTTATTTTTTTTGAATTTCTATTCTATTCTGTGAATTTTTCAGTTTTACTTTTACCTTGAACCCACCAAAGTTAATTTGTTTGAATTATGGGTATTTTGAGTTTGACACATACCTACCATGAAGCAAGATTTTCACTGGGTGAATTTCCTGCTCCGACTGCCAAATAATGGAACTAATAGGACCTTTCATATACTTTCATATATTGTCTTTTTTACTTATATTGTCAAATTTGAATTCACATGGTTTAATAAGCAATGTGAATGAAACTTACTTTGTTTGAGATGGTAAAATTTAGAGTTTGCTTAGTTATGTATGTTTCTGTGTTCAAGTGCTTTCGGGGTCGTCTTAGACCTTGTGATTGGGCTTTAACCTCCAAAAGTATTGATACTTCTACCTCTAAAGGATTTACTTATTACTATTGTTTTTCTTTTAGATTTCTTGTTTCACTCCGTTAATTAGTCTTTTAAAAAGATTTATCAGACTGTGAATATTCGTTTCTCTTTCAACTTGTTTTTTCTTTTAACGAACTTATGTATTCGAATGGTAAACATACTTGAAATGTGTTGAAATTGATAATTTAAAAAATAAAGTGACAGTATTTTGAATTATGGTAAATCTGTGGGTTGAAAATGGAAGTCAGTGGGAAGCTAAGGCAGGGGTTAGATATTTTGAACATGAGGAAAATAAATGGCATTAATTTGGGAAATAGAGGGTCATTAATGAGGGGTATGATCCCAATTGGTTTCTGCTTTTTTCAATTTATTCACACCAATACATTAGTTATTTTCTTTGTTTATTTTAAAGAAATACCGTGTATTATGGATAGGGATGTTGTCCCTCACTTATATATTCAGCAAATTAATTATTAGAAATCACACACCATTTCAAATTATTTACCAATATAACATATTATATTCTTGAATCGATTCAATTTTATTAGTGAGGCTATTCTATGCGTCTATTGAAAAACCTATTTTTGTTAAGAATAAACAAAATAAAGAGATTAGTGTTGAGTTTGTAAGTGAGTGCAAACAAAATCTCATATTTACCTAAAGAAGGGAGCGTTCCATAGTATATAAGAGAAGACAATTATCTTCATTGATATAAGACATTTTGAGTGAAACCAAAACTAAAGTCGGAAACGTTAGGTCCGAAATGGACAATCTTATACCATCTTCAATTACAAAACAATAAAATATTTGAGGGTATAATTTAAGAAATAGATTAACATAGTAATTAAAGAACACAAAGGGTAATGGTATGGCAATGGCCTCGAAATTTCACTTGACCTTTTTGAAATTCGTGAGTGTGTGATTTCAAACTAACCCAAGAGCCATTCTCAGGAGCTAGCTGCTATTTCCAATTAGAAGTCCAATGCCAAATTACAATATAATATACTCATATATAGTAGTGGTACTGTCCTGTCTCGTGTTATAAAAATAATTAAAATTATAAAACACGGTTAATTAAATACTAAGATAAGGAAAAAAAAAAGAATTAATAATTATATGGCGACAACTGTGTCAGAATTCCAGGCTGATTTTGAGTCTGTTCAAAGCCATGCCATGCAAATGCCAATGGGTTTATGATTAAAAAATAATTAAGCTAAAATCTCAAGATTTGCGTCGTGGCATGCCTTAATTAAACTTACACCTTTACTGGGCTCCGTGATTTGACCTAAACTTTTTACTTTCTTTTTTCCCTAAAAATACTTTAATGTTAGCTGAGATACTGTACATTGCTAAATTTTTAGATTTTTTTTTATATCGGTGAATGTCACGAGAGAAAAATTTAAGAATATCTACATTTAACTTTTAAAATTCAGCAAAGATTTAATTTTAACAAAATAATTGAAAAAGAAAAAAAAGGAAAAAGTGGGAAACTACAAAATTGTTAGGTTGGAAAATGAAACTAAAAGGAATGTTATTGGTTTATATAATGGTAATGTTTGGTTTAGGTGGCATTGGCACTAATTTTGTTTGATAAGACATTCAAATAATTCAAATTTCCCAGCTAACGAAAGAATCGGAAATGGGAGTGCTGCCAAAAGGTGCACTTTAGAAAGATAATTTAAACCACTTCCAGAAGAAAATAAAAAAATTAATAATTTAAACCAGCTCTAATTTGTCATTATTATTAGGTTGAGCTCTCAATTCGTCATCATATTATAGCCCTAATACGTGCAATAAATTCCGGGACAAACAATGCTACTCTTCCCAATAATTTACTTCCAATCATTATCATCCTCAATAAATAAATAAATTAATTAATTAAACTGAACTTGTGTTAAAATTAATTGTGATTAGTTACACCAACGATGAAGACTCGGACAGTGTTTACCTCATAGATTCAGCTTAATTAGGGCTAACTAGGAAACCTAACCTAAGTTTATTTATCTTACACTACGAGTTTATTAATTTCTTAGGCTACACAAATTCAGACTATTGAAACTTATCCTTTCATGTAAAACAAGGAAAATTAATTTCTTGGAGTTACGTTTTCTTATTTACGATAATGATTACAGATGGATATGTATTAGATATTTAATATATAAATTAAATTTACTCAACCCATCAGCTTAAATTTTTGGGTTGAGTGGTGGTTTATTCATCCTTAAGATGGTATCGGATGATCCTGTGTTCGAGAGTTACGTACATTCTTTATAAAAGGATTACACTAAAAGAAGACTAAATTAAACAGAATATTAGAACCATAACATTTTACCTCTCCATCAGAGCGTTAGGGGTGTTAAAAAAACCCAATAACTCGACAACCCAACCCAAACCGTAAGAATTGGGTAAATCCGACGGTTCCTATATATGGCCAAATCAAAAATTCTGGTTGATCCCAAAATCTCTCTTAACCCAACCAAATCCAACCGAGCTCTAGTTACTCGGAGACAAATATGCATACTCCTGGAGATATTTATAAGATGATGTAAGGATTGAAAGAGAGTAGAAGATAGTAGGTAGGGTTTGAATAGGGGTGTGGGGATGATCCGACAAAGAGGGAGATGGAATTAGGGCATTGGCATAGGGGTCTCTCGTAAACAATGGAAACTTGGCTCCCTTGCTGGTTCAATGGCCGACCCACTGTGCTGGTGGTGGGTGGCCAAAAGTCCTACACACACCAATCTTTGTATTTCTATTAGGCACACATACCCTAAAGCTGGGGGCCCGACCTCCCCCATGCTCTTAAATATTCTTTGTCTTCTAATTTTTCTCATTTAGATACAACGTATGTAAACCACCATTGCCACCTCTCCCATCATTTATATCCACCATACTATTACTATTATGTATAATATATACTTTTGTTTCATATATAACTCTATTATTATTTTTTTTAATTGTTTCTCGTCAATCATTCACTATATATTACATTATTATTTACTAGATTATAAGTTTGGTTCATGAACTTTTAGAATTGTATTTTTTTATAAAATTTTTTAATATGTTCATAAATTTTAAGGGTGTGTCGTCTACTAATCCGTGGACTTTTAAAAGATTTTTAATAAGTTTATGAATCTCAACTTTGTGTTTATTATCTAATTCATATATTATATATAACTTCGTCAGTTTTAATGATTATGCCACTAAATATATGAGTCTAGCTATCTAAAATAAGCTTGTCAAGTAATCCTCAAATAATTAAATTAGATACTTAGGAGTCGGTGAACCTCAAAATTATTCTTTGAGGTCCTAAACCACCCCAGCTATCTGATGAGGACTTGGAAAATTATTCTTTTAAATTTAAATTGACAATTGAAATTACTAGGACAAAAGATTCAATCTTTTTCAAAAGTTAAATTATTTTAAATTATATGAATATTTGTTTGTTTATGCAATTTCCATGTGGTTGGCTTGTACAAAATAACATTAATTTTGGGAAATTTTGTTCTCAGCTTATAAGCCGTGCTAATTATAATTCCCTAGTTTTTAATATAATCTCGAGGATTCTCTTTCATAAATCTTTTTTTTTTCTCGATCAAATTCTCTTTCATAATTCTAGATCCTTAAAAGTAGATTTCATTTTATATATCAAAGTCAAAACTGTCATTTACTAACCGTGTAATATATAGTTATGCTCCCTTGAATTTCCACTAATCTCATTTCCTTCTCTTATAATATCTCCCATTATTTTTTTTCTTTTAAAAAACCTATAATAAAAATTATTAAAATAATCGACAATCCACATAATAGACTATTCGTTGGAGACAGAGAAAAAAAAAAAACACCACATCTTCACACATCCCAATTTTACAAAGAAATTCAACATCAAGTCCAAAAAACACAACATAGAAATTCAACTTCTTTTCTTCAAACTAATAATTCCAAGATGGTAAAATGCATCTTTTCACAAAAACGTATATAAATCGAGAAGGGATAGGAACGGGAAATCAAAACTATTGGGATCAGATGAGATGGCTATATATATATATATATTCTCCTCTATATATCTTATGGACCACACACACACACATATAGATGCAATAAATTGAAATATATGATTCCATATTAAATAACAAGAGAAACATAAATATAAAAATTTAAATATATGATGGTTAAATGTGGGTCCGATGTGAGGATTGGTCTCGTGGGTATGGGGGACACATGAAACGAAACTCTCTATCACGCTCCAAAATATTAAATAAAAAAAAAAAGCCAACTCAGTCATGACTCACACCCACCACTTTTTTCTATATAAGAAGAATCCTCCGCTGGCTTCCCCCACATCTCAAATCCAACCTCAACAAGAAGAAGAAGAAAAACGACTAAAAATTTCGAAAAGTTTTGCGTTTTGTGTTAAGTTTTGAAGATGAAGATGAGCGGTGCGACGACGAAGAGGAGGGTCTCGAGCCGAGGGCTGGGCGGGGTTGTGAGAGAGCAGAGGGCTAGGCTTTACATTATCAGACGCTGTGTCGTGATGCTTCTTTGTTGGCATGACTGAGCGGCCACGGATCCAAACGCTGCGTTTTGGTTTTGGTGGCTGCCTCTTGTATATACCTTGAAGGGTTTTGAGTTAACAAAAATTTTTGTATTGGGGTAGGCGTTTTAGTTTTTTGTTTTGAGGAAGCAATTTAACGTGTAAATCTGCAATCCATTATATTATATATATTCATATTCTACCAATTTTAACGGCTCCAAATTTCTTTCTTTGGCTAATTTTGTTGTTTAATTTGTTGATGGGTTTGGAAGTGGGGATCTTCAAGAAATTATTTGAATTAAGGTATGGAATGGTGGATGGGTGTGGAATTGGATTGGATTCTCGAGAAAAGAAAAGCCCCATGTGCTGAGTTCTTTTCAGTACCCCCTTTTTTTTGCCCTTTTTTCTGTGTGTCTGGACTTGTTTCTTTTTGGAATTTGCTTTTACCCCTTTCACCTTCACTTCACCACTTGGATTTTCTCTTCCTTTTTCCCTTTTCTCTTTTCTTTTCTCTCTTTATTGCTTTTACCATACATTTAATGTTCCATTTTTTTAATATCACTTTTAGGTTGTTTGACTCATAAATGTATTCAAAGTTAGAGCCTATGTTTGCTATGTTAATTGCGTTTATTCTAAATTATGAATTTGTTAATGTTCTAGGGTTATAAAAATTTATCACAAATTTATTGCAATGAGTGCAACTGAAGTTCTACGTTAGTTAAGAAATAAATTGATCTATAGTTAAGTGAAGACAATTATCGACAATGATATCAAGTTTTTTTATTAATCCAAAAGAAAAGCTATGACTCAAATTTATCTCACTCATTTTCTTTCTATATAATCTATTACTATATGATCATTTATACTAGTCAATCTTCTTTTTAAAGTTCTTAAAATTTGAAAAGGAAAAAAAATCAAAATTTAAGTTTTTTATTATATTAGTCAATCTTCTTTTTAAGTTCTTAACAATTGAAAAGGGAAAAAAATCAAAATTTAAGTTTTTTTTTATATAGTTTTTAAATGGATGAATTTTCATAAATAATTTAGAATTAATAGATCTTTTCAAGCAGCCTAGTTGTAATTGGTATAAATCTCCAACCAATAAGTTTTAAGTTGGATCCCCATTCCCACATGTTATACTAAACAAAATAGATATTTTCAAATGTGGTAAAAATTTTGAAATTTTATAAACATAGTATAACCTAAATCAAACTAAAACTCAAACACAAGGAAATTCACTGCTATTTAAAAAATACATATTAAATTTATGATATGAAGCGAAATTTCTCTACTAAATTTTGGTTATGGTTTTCTTAGTTCAACTATTTATTAGAATGAGGGATTGAAATATCAACCTTTAAATGGTGAGTTGATAACATCTTACCAAATAAAAAAATATATATATATATAAAATGATATTTAGAAATAAAAAAATATAAAAAACCGTTATCCCATGAACATGACTTGCTGGGAGTAACTTGCTTAGTTGAAATAATTGTAAGAGATCATCACCTGAGAAGGAAAATTTGATAATTCACGTGCTTAAATTTATAAAACTATCTATAGTTCAACGAATGTGGGATAAATAATCAAATCGAACAATTGATTATCTTATCTTAGTCAACATGAGCATAGCTCAACGGTAATTGATATTTACTCCTTCCTTCAATGTCGGAGGTTCAATCCCCCGATTTCTCCAAATTATTTGTACTAAAGAACGATTGATTATCTTAGTTTCATATGATATTACATTATATGTGGATAAATTCTTCTAAAGAAAAGAAAAAGAGTTTTAGCTTTATTAGAACCAAGTTAAGTTAATAAACATTCTCTTGTATAATATAACGAGTGGATTCTTTAACAAGAGATTTTGAATATATACACCCATCATAGATTAAAACAAACCATTAGGTGATGCGATGATAATAAAACCAAAAGAAAAGATGGGTTAGTGGAAAAAAGGTTAAAAAAGCAGTGGAATAATATGAATGATAATGTAGAGGGGAATTTAAGTAGGGCCATTAATGATAGGAAGTGAAGAAGTTGAGATAAGATTAATGATAGGAGTAGGAGTTGGACTATTTTGGTCCAAATTAACACCCCCACTTCCCCTTCCCTTTTTCCCTAATTCCAAACACACATAAATAAATAAAGTTAAGTTAAACTATTAATTTCACAATTTGAATTTGTACCCTTAGACAAAATAATATATAGCATTTGGGTATTATTGTTGTATCATGTTTTGGTTTAGGTGGAGGATTAAATTATAATAAAATCATAAACGTTGGGGTAATGGGTTGATTAATTTGTCCCCAAACAAACAGCATTTGATTGTATTAAAATGAATGGATTGTTGTTTGTTTAAGGATACTTGGCCTCTCAAATTAAGGGTCGTTGGTGGTCAAAAAGATTGTGTGCTGTGGGACACTCTTCAATTATTGCCCTTCTTTCCGTAGGCCAGTTGTCTCTTCTCTTGTGCAAAGCCAAATTTGATGAAAGTTCAGGGATAATTTATAATTTAACATGATTTTGAATCAAACAAGCCTATTTGATGTAGCTTAGTAATAATTAAAACGTTATTTCGATAATCCTATGAAAATTTAGAACATATTGAAAAATGTAAAATCCATATCCCAATTTTTACTTTATGAAAATTGACTACAGTTACTTAATTATATCACATAGTGGCAGTGTCATTATGAGAGGTTGTTGAGTCCTCATTTGTCAATGTGTGTAAACATGCAACACTTAGTCAAAGTAGTAGTTAATATATCTCTAAGAATAATTATGCTATTATATATCCAACTACCAATATTCATTCAACCCATCACATAATATGAATTCCTCTAAAGTTTGCAAAACCATTGTCCACCACAAAATCCCTTAATAATAATCATGGGCATTAAAAGTTAAAACGTTTATTTCTTTTGTTTTATCTACTAAAAAGAAATATATTCTCAAAAGAAAGAAAGAATCATAACAAACCATATATTTTAAAATATACCTTACTTTGTACAATCTGTATTTAAAACACACTAGAAAAATGCTACTTATTTATATATTCGAAATAATAATTAAACCACTCTTGCTTATGGGTTTAGCTTACAAACAAAACCCCACACTTGGACAAACAAAAAATTTAAATAATTTTAGTTTGGAAGAAAACATTGTGTCGTTGGTTTTGTATTGCTGAGGGACATGCATTAAATATTGATTGAGAAACCTTATTAATTAAACTATATGCTAATAATTAGGAACACACATGACGTATTGGTCTTATTCCATTTATGTTATACTAATTAAATATACGGATTTCATAGATATTTTTCTTTTCCGAAATAAGACGTATAATTTTAAAAAATAAGGGAAAATGGAATACTATTTATTGATTTTGTAGGGTGAAAAATATACGGGAATGTTAGAAATATTTGGTGACACGTGGTGAAATGGAGAAGGTTAGGGAAAATGATAGTGTGGTGTCGGCCACAGAGGAGAGTAGCACTAGCAGCTCTGGCAGGGAAAAAGACAGAACGTGGTTGGTCAAAACGGCAGCCTTATCACATCCACGTGCACTTCCCAATCTGTAACCCCACCACAGCCGTCCGATTCTTCCTATCAAGCCGCGGGGCCCGCCATCCTCCATCTTTCCGTCAATCATAGACTTTCATTACATGAATGCATCTTGACCCTTTTTTCTTTTTTCTTTTCGAAAATTTTCGGTAAATATTCTTGCACACGTTTCTGTTTATTTATTTTTAATAAAGAAAAATGTACCGCATAGTTCCAATTTCTAATAATTCAAATATGATAAAACAATATTTTTACATATGCTTTGGTACAAATTAGAAATAATAACGAGAAAATAAAAACTTGTTTTGATTGTTTTTAAAATGTCTATACAATTGTGAGAATGTTGTTAAAAAATGAGAAGCAAGAAATAAAGTTAATTATAAAATACTTAGGTTCCTTAAGAAAATTGGAAACGAAAAATAAGGAACGAGAACGTTATCATTATTTATGAGGTAAAATCATAATTTCTCATTATTTATGATTTTACATTTTTGATTCCAAGCATGAGAGTTTTATTTTTAAGTTAGATACTCCATTTTTTTTAAATATATGAGGCCTAAGAATATGATGATTGAGAGTATGTTTTTGTTAGGAGGATATGTAAAACTAAAATTTTTAACCATTTTTTATTTAATAAATCACTCTACATTTTAAATGGAGGTTAAATTATGATTAGATAACTAGGAGTTGGTTTCAATTTAGTTGTAACCCTATGGTTTTGTCTAAGTTCTCAAAAAATCAGATTTTAGAAAAGTTTATCAAATAAGAAATTTTCTTTAGGCATGGATGAGAATGTGATGAGGTGACGTTATATAAAGCATGTATAAAAGTTAAATTGGACAAGAAATAGAGGAAGTCAAGTGGGATTTCAGATAAAAGAGAAAATGTGTCGAGTAGAAAACAGGTAAATTTTGGACAATTACGATATTTCTCATGTGCAGTAAGACCCATAATTTTTTCACACAACCTCCATCTTCTTTACCAAAAAATTTATCTAATTTTATCTATTTTTTAAGCTACTTATCATATTTATAAATTTGTAACCAAAAAAATAATTTACAAATATGACAATTTTCTTTTTGTAAATTATTAATATACCATTTTTCTATCATTCATAAAGCGTATCACTAATATATCATATATGTAATCTATATCATTGATATTTTTTTCAATAAAGTATATGTAACTTGTTAAATGTAGCTCATTGATATACGAGTTTAAACACCAATGTCATTTTTACAAAATATTTTATCTACTCTACTCATCACGCCTATTGGTCATATCACGGAGGCAAGGTCCTAATTAGAATAAAGTAAAATTTTAGATGTTTATGTCAATGGAAGCGTCGAATTCTCAATTTGATGAAAATGTAGAATGAAAATATCACAAAATTGTTGATGTTGATGGATATTTATAAAAATAAAAATTCATAACAAAAATTTAAATTAACAAATAAACATCTTACACTTTTTAAATAAGTTAAAAAACTATTAACATTAACCTTATATCCATATTAATGATATTATATTCATATATATATTTTTTATATATTTTATCAATTTTTTTACAATACTACGTAAATATCTCGTCATGTTGATGTCAAACTCATGGGCACATGAAAATATCGATATTTTGATGAAATTTAACAATACCGATTCAACCCCTCATCTATACCGAACCTATGAACACATGTCGACGTGTGGGCAAGAAAATGAAGGAGAAAGGAGGGGGACCAAGGAGCATACTGGAATTTGAATGCCGGACGCAGACGCAGGCATCCTATTCCTAAATCCTAAAGGCCTGTCGACAAGGCAACACCACACGCACTCGGGGGACAACCATTTGCTTTCATCCTACAGCTATAACCCAGCAGTCCCCTAAAGCCACTCTCAGCCAGCTCATGCTCATCTCCTCCACCAATCACAAAAAGTTGTGAACTTTGGATGGATATCCACACCCAACTCAACTCCAATTCGTTTATAACATCTTTATCTTAGTTGGTTCTGAAAACGACTCCCCAAAACCACACACACACACACAGTTCCTTTCTGGTTCTATAAATGTCGTCTTCTTCTAGTCAATAAAGTTCAAGCTTCACACACAACACAATCCACTTTTCAGTTTTCAGTTTCCAGTTTTCACTCTCTTCTGTTCTAAGCGTTTAAACAAAGTTCAAACATGAGTTTACAGATGCAGTTTTCTTTACATAGCTGCCACTTTTGTGCTGCATATCACGGTCACAGCTCGTCGCCAAAAAAAATATATATCGTCACTTTCGAGCTTTGTGAAACAGAATGAATGTTAATCGATTGCAGCACAAACAAAATTCTGGCACCACATTCTTACTCTACCACCTTACCTCCCCAGGCCAAGAAGCTTTCTTGTGATCCAAAATCCTGTTCGAAGCACCAAGATAAATTCATTTTAGTTTAGGGAGGAACAGAATTCGAGTAAATGATGTGTTCGGATAAATCAATGAACTGGCTGTAGAATGAAAAATGTAGACATACAAGCTGGCTAAGTCGAAACTCTGGAGGCGTGTCGAGTTCGATGTTTGCTGGATCAAGGACGAGATTTTGGCACTCCTCTAGATCCTTCTTTAAATCCTCTGGTCCTAACTTTGCGTATTCGGAAAGACAAGACTTGCTCCCCGATGCGCCATTGGTGGAGTTCCCTTCCCTAGGGGGAGACTGGCTCTGAAGAAGATCGTCACACAGAGACAATGCTTCCACAAGCTGTTGGGAGTCTAATATGTTCTGTGACTCTCCTTCCCACCATTTTGGTTCTTCCTCAAGCTGATTTTCATTATCGTCGATCACTTCATCAGAACAACCATCTAGCTTGACGATATCGGGATTGTCTAACTTCTCGAATTCAGGTGGAACCTGATAACAACCAGACCCATATTAGAACTAGAGAACAAATGATGCATAACAATGTAAATATAAATATTGGAACCAGAAGTGACATCCATTTTCAACAGATGCCAGCAGGTTTTTAGAGAAACTAGCTGTTTCCAGCAAAGCTAGGACTGAAACCTATAAATGGAGAAAATTAGTTTTCTTCAGCATTTCAGATTCAAAATTTGCATGCTGTGAAACGAAACACAAGCCGTAAGAACTAAAATCAATCTGGATCATATGCATATCACCAGAGCATGATTTGTGGGTTCGAATTTATGGAAAATGAAGAATAAGATATTGTTTTTCATTTACCTGAGGAAGGGTACTTGTGGAAGTGATAACAGAATCTGGTTCCGGATCAACATCCGCAGATCTACTTTCAATGCGAGGAGGCTCAGGAGTCACAGACTTTGGAGTGCGGGGATCAACTTTTACGGCATCAATGATTTCAGGAATCTCCTGTTCAGTAACTTCACCCTGCTTGACATTTTGTTGCTGGAAAAATATTTTGGAAAGGACATATTCTCCATCCCTCTCATCTTCCTCTGTCCCTAGGTGATATTGGTGCATAACCCAATTGGTTTTCTCAGCTCTGCCTCCTCTGACAAAGCTCATGTATAGAACCATAATCTTCTTACACCCTTTCTGAACCCCATTGATGACCACAGGTTTTGTCCTTCCAGTCTTATGCCAGCGAACATCTCCAAAATCATCATCGGTTATCTTCCTACGCTTTCGAGTTCCAGTGTTGTATGCCTTGATTGCTCTGTGAAAGAAGTGGGATACACTGCCATCTTGCTTAACACCTATAATATTTTAACCACAAAACATTTTAATCAGAGATAGCACATATCAAACAAAATTAAACCGGGTCGGTGTTTGTCCAGTCTTGACCAACCTGGTAATTTTTGAGGATGGGTATAACATATGCCGTCATCTTCAAGAACAGTTGGTATAAACTCATCAATGAAGGGATGGGGCTTTGAACCACCAATACCAACTTTGGCTAGTAAATGCCATATAATTTCTTGATCAGAAGGATCAAATTTTACACCCCTAGGTAGTCCTGGCCACTCTTGAGCAACCTGGAAAAAAAGAGATTTCAACTGCCCTAAGAACCAACATAAATTTTAGAGAAATTTAATATTGGCAACATGTAAAGCACATCAAACAGTTATTGAGGTTAATGAGTTAAGAGTTAGTACTATCTTGCCAGGATGTAACTTTTACTGGATTAATAACATCCAACATCAGCTCTTGAAAGGAAACTATGAATGTCTAACACTCTTCCACATCAAAAAGCCATCAGTGCAAGTGGACAAGGAAGTTGGAACTAAGGAAAATAGTATAAAAGGTTTGCATTACAAAACAAGTCCGAAGCTTTCTACATCAGATGAAGCAAAGGTATGTCAGCAAGAAGGTAGAATGTAAAGAAAATGCTGATCTTAATAGGAAAACTTTGTAACAGAGTGAAATATTATAGATCTTTTTAGTTTATCACTTTCGTAAAAATTTGAGTATATGCTGAATCTCAGAACATGAATAAAATTTATCACAAATTATAACCGATAGACCTGAACACTAGTATCTTTCTATTAAATAAACAATTGAAGCTATACATCACTGTTATCAATGGTATGTTGGCAATTCGGACAACTTCTGCTGGGGTTGCTTTTCCATTCAACACTTCGAGGATTGCTTGTCCCAGATGCACTCTTAATTTTTGTTGCAATTCTATTGCTATCTACCAACCATGATGGTCTGCAGAAATCAAACATGACACCAGAAAGTCAAAACCATGGACTGTTACGTTCCATTATGATAAAATCCATGAGATCTTGATTAAATTTCAGTTAATTTACATGTGTACTTAAAAATCTACAAGGAACTTTTGGGTTTTGCAGAAATAAAACCAATAGAGTGGTTGATTTCATTTTAACACATCCAATTCATCCATCAATTTATACACCCAAGGGAATGAATTCAATTCGAAATAGTTTGGCTTTCAGCATTATAAGTGATGTAGGGAATTATAGGGTAGTTTTATGATTTCCTTTTCGTACAATACTTTGTTAGTAGATAGTAAGTTGACTCATAACAAGCGACCAAATTATGAACACCTCTATAAAAAGACCAAATTATGAACAAGCGACCAAATTCTCAGTAAGTTGAACTAATCCGTCTATAAAAAGAGGTTTTTGGCATTGAATTTGAATAATTTAGAATCAAATTCAGTTATGAATAAAGACTTCCCCCCAGTATTATGAACACCTTGTTAATCCCATCATTTACCCGTTTTTTCCCTTTTTCGGATCAACTAGGATAGGGAGAAGATACATTGATAAATAAAAGAAAGAGAGAAGATCGCTAGGCATTGACCCATAACAAGCGACCAAATAAAAAATGAAAGATAGTTTTACTTTTCCTTTACTAAGGCTTAAAGAGGGCCTGAAGTTAATAAAAAAACCTACAGAAAAATCAGTCATAAACTCCAAAACAAAGAAGATATAATGAATGGGAATACCGAAACCATGTTTCATCATTGAAAGACTGAAATTAGCCCATCTCATATAACTATTTACGAGGATATGACATGACAATAGTAAAAAATAAACTAAAGAATGAAACAAGCCGACATTAGTAAGATTTATAGCAAGACTTGGGAGGGGTGTCTTAAACATGTAGAAACTATTCTAGAAGCTCTAAGTGAGCACCTGCTAAAAAAACATCAGGAACATTTGGCACCAAATGAAAAATATGAGCAGCATGAAAATAGGATGTTTGGAAATAAGATGCCCTCTATTTGGGTACCCGAAAAGTGGGTTGAAGATAAAGGACGTTGTGGTCATATGAAAATGAGAGAGATACTAAAGTAATTTACACAGAAACAGAAAGCCTGAGGAATGAATCAAGCTTCCAATTCCACAAAACGCCACTTAGTAAAGTAATTATTGGGTAATTCTGAGAATGTTAACAAAGACAGGCAAATCGAATACCTAACTAAAGCTCTCTCTTATTCTTGGTTTTAAGGTAATCCCAACTAAGGAACCAACTCTATTCAGACAAGACAATGAATACTGAGGCCGCCGAGGGAGCTACAGGCATGGAATTCAACAAACGTGAGAAAAATGGGGTTGTGATTGAAGACTAGCAGAATTTAAACAGACCCAAATACCAGATTGCAACCATAAACCAACAGAATGATCGAAAAATCTGAAAATGAAAGGGGTACCTCGCCATGGAAGACAGCGAACGGGAGATCCAGAAACTGTTATTTCTCTAATCGCTGTCGCCCCATCTACTTTTTGATGCTATACCGCGTGAGAGATTGAAGAGGCGATCTTCGGTTTTCGAAACTTTGAGGCCCAATTACTGTTCTCCTCCCGTCCTGTCAGTGATGATGGAAAGGATCTTTCTTTTCACCTTTTCCCACACGAAGGAATTGAGAAATTTGAATATACGGAGAAAACTGGTATTTGTGGGGAAAGTTTGAATTAAAAATGGCTACCAGTCTACCACTTTCGTAGTGGGATTAGATTGTGTGCGGCTCCGTAGAATTTTCAACCGGCGACTTGGAGTTGACTTTAATATTAATCGATTTTCCATTTGTTTTGTGGTCGATGATTGGTCTTCTACTTGACTGCGTGCGACCAATTCTACAGACGCGCACACATGAATAAGAACACAATATTGCAAAATGTTTTTTTTTTCTTTTAATAACATCAACTTTTCCACTAATGTTTGGGTGTATGCATAATTAAGTATAATGTAATAATGTTTAGTGTTTTGTTGATTTTAGTCTCTATTATTTATGACATTATTAAATTAGTCATTTGTCGTTTAATATTTTTTAGTTTAGTTCTTTTTTTTTTCTTTAAAGAAATTGTACTTCACTATAAAAATAAAGAGTGAAAATCAGTTTTTGCCGATCCTAACATCTAAGCAGGGACTAAGACTACAGTGTCCCAAACCCTATTATTGGCAATTTTAAGCCCTCTCCTAGCAATTTCATGAGCAACTTTGTTTGTATCCCTCTTTATTTTTATAATAGGAAAGACTTCAATGGTATGAGTATTTGAATTTCTTCAATAATCCAATAAATTTTGGTGAGATCCATAAAAATTAGTTATTTTCACTAGGGATAGGTTCCCGCGCGGAGAATCCATCCCTGTTTCAAAATTTTGAGGATTGGCGATAAAGATTGAGAAAAAAATGCCAGAGAAAGTTCAAACTCTTATACCCTAATTTATTGTACTAAAAAGAAAAATCACTTAGTTTTTCACGTTATATTTTACTAAAATTGATTTAAAAACTCGGAAATTAGGGATTGAATTATGGTGGGGATCGAACTCCCAGTCTTTAAGTCGAGAATATATATCTCAACTATTCATTTGGCGAATAAAATTAAGGTATTTAAAAATAAAAACCTAATAAAATTTACATATAATATAAAAACAGAGAGATTTTGTCGCACAGACACAGTCCAGAATCCAGGCCCAAACCCGATGGCAAGTATCCACGGCCTCTGAATCTGAAGTCCGCTTCGGGGCGTGCAAGTGGCAACTCGTTCTTCGCATTTCTCCTCGCCTGAACGCAAAGCCATCGGAATTGTGTCGCACAATCACAATGTCCGGCAGCCGGGCCAGAAACTTCCGCCGCCGAGCCGACGACAATGACGACGACGACGAACCCAATGGCTCCGCCGCCCCTTCGATCAGCGCTCCGAGCGCGTCATCAAAACCCTCGTCTACCGTCGCCAATAAACCCAAGAAGCCAAACCCTCAGGTCCCGAAGCTTCTCAGCTTCGCCAGCGACGAAGAGAACGACGCCCCACTTCGCTCTTCATCTTCCAAACCATCCAATTCCAAGAAGCCCTCTACTCGACTTCCCAAGCCCTCCTCCACCCACAAGATCACTGCCTTAAAGGACCGCCTCTCTCACTCTTCTCCAATTTCGGCATCTGTTCCCTCAAATGTTCAGCCTCAAGCTGGCACTTATACCAAAGAGGCCCTGCGCGAGTTGCAGAAGAATACCCGCACGCTTGCGAGCTCAAGACCCTCGTCCGAATCTAAGCCTTCCTCGGAACCTGTTATTGTTCTAAAGGGTCTTCTCAAACCCGCCGAACAGATTCCGGAAAATTCTAGAGAAGCTAAAGAGTCGAGCTCTGAGGATGAAGCAGGGGATGGTAATGGGAAAACGGCCGGTTCGTTTCGGAGGAGTAAGGAAGATACCTTGGCCCGAATGGCTTCAATGGGGATTGGCAGAGGAAAGGATTCATCTGGGTCGTCAATTCCCGATCAAGCGACCATTAATGCAATCCGCGCGAAAAGGGAACGAATGCGACAGGCTGGAGTTGCAGCGCCGGATTATATATCGTTAGATGCAGGGAGCAACCGCACCGCGCCGGGGGAATTGAGCGATGAAGAGACAGAGTTTCCGGGGAGAATAGCCATGATTGGAGGGAAGTTGGAGAGCTCGAAGAAAGGGGTGTTTGAGGAAGTTGGTGAGCAAGCGATTGATGGAGTAGGAAAGGATATTGAGGGCAGCGATGAGGATGAGGAGGAGAAAATTTGGGAGGAGGAGCAGTTTAGGAAGGGGTTGGGGAAGAGAATGGATGATGGTTCTACTAGGGTGGAGAGCACTAGTATTCCTGTTGTTCAGGGTGTTCAGCAACAAAATTTAATTTACCCCACTACAGCTGTGTATAATTCGGTTCCTACCATGTCTACAGCAACAAGTATAGGGGGTTCTGTTGGTGTTTCACAGGGTTTTGATGGGCTATCGATATCTCAGCAAGCTGAGATTGCTAAAAAGGCTTTGCAGGATAATATGGGGAGGCTTAAGGTATGGTTAGTTTTTATCCGTATCTAAAACTTCAAATCATCATTCAATAACACATTTTCCCCTGATGTCAGTCTTATGGTACAGTAGTATAAACCTGAAACTTACATGAGAATTCTAAGATTGCGCTATATGCTTCTAGGAATATGTTTAGTGATATTTGATTTAATCTGGCTTTCATTATCTTAGTTTATAGTGATATACAAGCCACTGTGTGGCTTATTTGGAATGTAGTTTACTATAAATGGCGTATCTCCAAAACAACATGTTCTCCTGATTAACTCTGCTTATGGATATGGATCTCTGTGTATGCATGACCTCCATTGTCTATTATAAATCTTATCGAAGAACTGATTAAATTGAGGGTAAAGCAGAGATCATACTCTCACGTCTCACTAAATACAAATGTTCTTGCTGGCTATTGTCTATCTAATTGGTGGTTGTTTATCCAACTCTTAATTCTGATAGCTTCCAGCCTAATCACTAAACCGTAGTCATCGAGTATTCTTGTGGGTCTCATATACTGACCTGCTTGGAGTTAACAATAGAGACCACCCAAAAAAACCCAAAAAGACAATAAAATAAAAATAGAAGTAGAAGAGAAAATGCACACAATACGGGGATTAATATTATAGGTTTAATTTGTTTACTTGACGTTGCATGCACCATCATGAAGAAGAAAATTTTCCAAGAGTGGGTGGGCCAAGTAATAGGGTCGGGTAGTTGTCCCACGAGAATAGTCGAAGGATGTGCAAGCTGGTCTGAACACCTCAAGGATATAAAAAAAAAGGAAGTGGGTGGGCCAAGCCTTAAATAAACTTAAGAAAATGCTGCGTTAAGCTTACCACAAAATGAGTGTGAAAGAAAATGGACATGATGCATAGAAGAGGGAAGGTTTGACTTGCTAATGGATGGCTGAATTTAATTCTTAGCCGCTTGCTTAATGGACTGAACCATATTGGAACCATGTTGTCATGCACACAACAATTTAAGTCAAACCTATAGCCGAATGACCTTTATACCCACATGCTACCCTTTTTGGCATGTATCTCGGGCTTCCTGTTTGCATCTGGGTCTTGTGCTATGATAAACGTGGAAGTTATAGGAGAATTCCGGGATTGAGAAATGTGCTTCTAGAAATATGTTTGATGATATTTGAGTTAATTTGGCTTTCATTATCTTAGTTTATATTGGTATACATGCGACAGTGTGGTTTACTTGGAATGTAGTTTATTATGAATGGCTTTTTTCCGAAATAACATGTTATCATGATTAACTTTGCTTATGGCTATGGATCTCTGTATATACATGACCTACATTGTCTATTATACTCAGGAATCTTATCGAAGAACTGCATCATCACTGTTGAAGACTGACGAAAATCTGTCTGCATCTCTTTTGAGTATCACAGTGCTTGAAAAGTCTCTTTCTGCTGCTGGCGAGAAGTTCATATTCATGCAAAAGCTTCGAGACTTTGTTTCTGTTATCTGTGACTTTTTGCAGGTATGGATATCCTATCTTATGTCCTGCATGTTTTATGGATTTTGAAATTTGTTTGTCATGCATGTTTGACTAGATCTTTAAAGGCAGATTGTATTTCGTTGTTTGTTACATATCTGCTAAAATGTATGAGAATTAGAAACATGAAGCAACTTTATAATCGTTTATTTCAAACTCAATTTAAGGCAAGCTGGATAAAGCCTTATTTTTTTTAGTTTCTAATTTTCATAAAAGCTTGATTCTTCCTTATGAATATGCAAACAAGCCCTTTTATGCCTACACCCGAGCATAGCTCTCTCTCTTTTATGATTCTGTTAGTGAAGTCAATTTTTGTATGTCAAGGATGCATTAGACATATGTCTCGTTTATGTTAGGATTGCTTAGCTCTTCAGTTTCCCCCTTCCGTTATATACATATAAACTAGAAAATTATGGTTATCACTTCACATTAAAATTCTATGTAGATTGAGATGTAAGGTCCTACATCAGGTTCACTTGTACTCTACTGTCTCCCTTATTTAATTAAGGCCTGTTCGTGTACTTGTTTAAGAAGTCAAATGATTGTGATCTATGTCTTTCTGTATTCTGCATTCAAGTTTTTCATCTCGTTAATCATTTGTTTTTAGCATAAAGCTCCATTCATAGAGGAACTTGAGGAGCAGATGCAGAAACTTCACGAAGAACGAGCTTCTACTGTTGTGGAGAGAAGAGTAGCTGATAATGACGATGAAGTGGTGGAGATAGAAACAGCTGTGAAAGCAGCTACATCTGTTTTGAATAAGAAAGGGAGCAGCACTGAAATTATTGCTGCTGCAACAAGTGCAGCCCAGGCAGCAATTGCATCTGCAAGGGAACAAGCTATCCTACCAGCAAAGTTAGATGAATTTGGTAGGGATTTAAATTTGCAGAAACGTATGGATATGAAACGGAGAGCTGAGGCTCGGAAGCGGCGAAGAGCTCAATATGATTCCAAGAGACTAACATCCACAGAGGTTGATGGCCATCAAAAAGTTGAGGGAGAATCTAGCACTGATGAGAGTGATAGTGAGAGTGCAGCATACCAGTCAAACCACAATTTATTGCTCCAGACTGCTGCTCAGATTTTTAGTGATGCAGCCGAGGAGTTTTCTCAACTTGCTGTGGTGAAACGGAGGTTTGAAGAATGGAAGAGAGATTATTCAGCAACGTACCGTGATGCATATATGTCATTAAGCATTCCTTCTATCTTCTCTCCATATGTGAGATTGGAGCTCTTGAAGTGGGACCCACTACATGAAAATGCAGATTTTTTCGATATGAACTGGTATGATGTATTTAAAAGTTTTATTGTGCTAATTGTGTACGTAACCTTAAAAAATGTTTCAATATGCAAGACGAACATCAATCGTAGATGTAATTTTCTGTAAACTGTGAACTGTCTGTGGTACTTTCTTATTGAAGTTAAATTCATTACTACATATTCTATGTTACTGGTTCACTTCCATTTTTCCAATGTCGAGATATTTTAATGTTTCAGGCATTCTTTGCTGTTCAACTATGGTATGCCTGAGGATGGAAGTGATTTTGCTCCAAATGATGCTGATGCTAACCTTGTTCCAGAACTAGTTGAGAAGGTTGCACTTCCAATATTGCACCATGAAATTGCTCATTGCTGGGACATGCTTAGCACCCGTGAAACCAGAAATGCGGCTTTTGCTACAAGCTTGATTACTAACTACGTTCCAACATCAAGTGAAGCTCTTACAGAATTACTGGTTCTTATTCGTACCCGTTTGTCGAGTGCTGTTGAAAATCTCATGGTACGAACTAGGTTTTGCATCTGTAATTGTTATACCTTCAACTGCTTTGCTTTGTGAACCGTGATGTTTTCATTTTAATTCTTAATGAGATTATTCCAGAAAAATTTGCTCATGTTGGACCATGTTTACGAAATGATAGGTTCCTACATGGAATGCACTTGTGATGAAAGCTGTTCCAAATGCTGCTCGAATTGCAGCATATCGGTTTGGCATGTCTGTGCGTTTGATGAGAAACATCGGCTTGTGGAAAGAAATAATTGCATTGCCCATTTTAGAAAAGCTTGCTCTTGAAGAGCTGTTGTACGGAAAAGTTCTACCTCATGTTAGAAGCATAACAGCGAACATCCATGATGCAGTCACAAGAACTGAGAGAATCATTGCTTCCCTTTCAGGAGTGTGGACAGGCCCCAGCATCACCGGTGATCGCAGGTTTGCATATCCATACAGTAGTTTGCTCCTTTTGGCAGTATACTTGCTAATTAATATCACTGAAGGGAAAGAGCACATTATATGAGCTGTAGTGAATTATATTTTTAATGCTCTGCTATCAGATAGATAAACTTGCGATGCTGAATATTGTTTTGCAGTCACAAGTTGCAACCATTGGTAGACTACATTCTGCTGCTTGGAAGAACGTTGGAGAAGAAGCATATTCTGGGCGTGTCGGAGAGTGATACAAATGGACTCGCTCGGCGATTAAAGAAGATGCTAGTTGAGTTGAATGAGTATGACAATGCAAGGGACATTGCGAAGACCTTTCATCTCAAGGAGGCATTATGAGCTCCGATGAGCAACCGGTGCACTTATTTATCTGAAAGGTGATCTAGATTCCTGGGTAGAATGCTAAATGCATTATTCGAAGATTGTTGAGAAACCGTCACCGAAGGAGCTGTTGTTGACGAGAAGTTTTTGTTCTTGCTAAGTTGACAACTTCTTAGCAAATGCAGCTTTAGATTCTGGAGAGAAAGCTAGGTGTGGAGTGACCCAGGAACGTGAACATGTTTTGCGTCATGGGAATTTTTCTTTTTGATACCGGATTGTATTGTAATTTTGAGAAATACGTTTCTAGAATAATTTGCTAAAAAAGAGAGGTCACTTCAGGTGATATTTTAGTTGAGGTCAATTAAAATGATAGAAGTGATATGGCTGTTAGATAATAATTTAATGACACTGAATATTAGTAGATCAATAGTTTACGATAGAAGGATCAAAGTTTAATATTTTATTTATTTGATTTAGAAATTAATGGTTAAATTTACGCTATATTTGTAAACGATATGCATACCAAAAAAGCCCACTAATGAAATATATTGGGCCTTGTGCTACGTGTTATTGGAGCTCGGTAGTTGGGTCTACCATTCTGGCCCAGTTGTTTTTTTCCTTCTTAAAATATATGACCCCATAGATTTCTCTTTCCACTTCCAATCCTTTACCTTTTAACTATCTGTGTAGATATATGTATATTTTTGACAAGTTTCAATTACTTAAATGTGGGCAGATGAGATGTTTTAATTACATCCCTTAAATTAGAATGTCTCACTTTCCTTTTTCTATTATACTGTTATGCCACGTGTCAATATGTGATATACCCCCGTCTTTTTTTTTTTGCAAAGGATGATATACCCTATGTCACTATCTCAATTATTTCCATCTAGTCCTTTTATGTGCTTTATGATTATAACTTTTTTTTTAAAATTTTTTATGGTGATATTTGTATCAAACATTACTTCTCTAAAAAAATAATTATCTTGGGAGTGAAAATAACCAAATGTTATGAGATGAGGAATGTTGCGGGATGGTGATACTTGGGTTGATTATTTTTGTACGTACGTGGTTAGTTTTTCAGATTTTGTGTTTAGACATTTTAGATTATTGATTGGGTATTAATATCTATTATCTATTATAATGTCTCTGGTTTACACCTTCAAAGTTAGGTTAGAGCTTAATAGGAAAGAACTGTTCCCTTGTCTGGTATTTGTATTGGTCAAGTATTAGCATTTTTCTAAATAGTTTTTGACCGAATATGTTGTTACAACTTTTAATAACAAATAACGTGATTATATATAGTTAAATGATGATAATCTGCTCACATTATTTTTTTTAAAATTCAGATGAGACACTCTTTAGCAATTTCAAATGTGGATTTCTACCATACCATATACCATTAGCCTATACGAGCACAAAGATGAATATTTTTGTTGTTTTCAAAATTTCTATACAATTTTGGAATTATTTCTAAAAAATGAGAGACATAAACATAAAAAATGGGTCAAAATACTCTCTTTTTTACCATAGATTTTTCTCGTGGTTATTTACCACTTGCATATGAGAGAAATCTTAAAAATTTAATTGAATTAAAGTAGAAAAGGTCAACACGCTTCAGATGATGATTTGTTAATGTTTTTTAATACATCATCATCTTGGCAACCAAAAAAACCCTCATTGAATAATAATGTTTGGATATGTACGGCCAGCCAGGAAATGCCTTAGGAAAAGAAAAAAAAGCTCATCCCTTTAATTGTATACTTAGAGAACAGAAAATCCAAAACGACCCATTGGTAGACATAATATGTCTTCTTATTATTAGTTTTGTTATGCTTATGTAACCAAAAGCATAAAATTTAGCAGAAATCTATCTGATCATCAAATAATTCTTAAATAATACAAACTTATATTATAAATCATTATTACGCCGCTGATGTGATTCTTTAACTATTAATATTTCTGTGGTTCATCTCAAAACCTAATTGACAATAAGATGAGTAATTCACTCCTTAATAACATATCTCTTAAAGATTGTGTCTCTTTTGGATTCACCAATCTTGATCAGATCCCATTTTTTAGGTCAGATGTTCGTATGGAGTTGTACTTGGACTTTGATATCATATAAACAGTCATGAGTTTCTCCATCTCGAAACCAACTTATATTATAAATCGACCTTGTTATGTCCCTTATCTTTTCAACGTGAGATCTTAACATGCCCCTCAAGATGATAGCTCTTTTAGGTTCATCAATCTTGGCAAGATCCCATTTTTTTTTACTAAGGTTCGTTTGAGCTTTGTTGGGCTCTAATACCATATCAATATTCATATATGATTTCATCTAAAAATCAATTATTAATGAAACGAATAGCTCACTTACATTATAAATTCTTGGTAGACATCTTCTATCTTTTCAACGTGGGATATAGTTTAATAATTACCCTATCATAAACAAATATCAAATAGACTTAAAAGACATAACTTTCCAATGAAGACACCAATTGTAAAAGTTAAGAGATCCAAACAACTTATATAATCAATCCTATGTATTATATTAGTGGTAATCTCCATATATATAAAAGAACAACACATGATATTACAAACAAACCGTGTAGAAAAAAAAATAGAAATTAAAACACAACATAAAAGACAAGATCTCATTTCATGGGCAGCCTCAAAAAGGTCAAAGACAATATAATGCAAAAAATATCAGCTCGTAT